ATTGTAAATAATTTTAAAGCCTAATTAAAAAAAATTACACCCCAACTGTAGTTGAACACCCGAGTCTTTTGCAGACTCAAATATCATATGTTAGAATCATCTATTATTAGTTGCATTTGGTTGAAAGAAATTTTAATAGACAATGCCCGTGGAATCGAAATACTACAGTAATATTGTCTCCACTTTGACTTCTTTAAAAGTTTTTTTTTTTTCATTGTGTAATTTGAATCTTGTACGTCGTCTCCAATTTAATTCTTTAGAGCTTGAATTCTGTGCCATATAACAATATTAACTGGGCATATTATAACCTTTTTAAAAAAGTACAGGTTCAATAAATAATACTCTACAAAAAGTTTCTATCGTTTTTAATCTTACTGGCGATATTCTTTGAATATTAAATTGTGATGAATGGTTCCCTTTTTATATAGGGCGACTATTTTCCATGCAAAGTAAGGTATTACTACCATCCATATATACTGTATCGGTTATTAAACATTATAACAATTAAATCTAATAAAAAAATGTTAAAATTTATATTTTTATAAATAATTTATTGAATAAGTTTCGTTCGTTAAGTATTATGGAATTTAATGTGTAGTAAATCAAAAGTAGTAAATCGAAAAAATATATCTCATTTGTCTCTTTGTACTTCGCTTATTGCAGCGCTTAAATTTCAAAATGCCTTTTACAGTTATTAAAAAACTTCCAGACTAAATAAACAATAATTACTTAAAAAATTAAAAAAATATATATATTAATAAAAATTAAATTCGCTTAATTAAATTACAGACTCCATTTAAAAAAATTCAGCTGATTTGCCATTTGATAGTTGAGGCATGGGTGTGTGAATATTGTGGTCATGTGTGGAAAATATTTGTATTTATGTATGTGTTTGTATGTATGTGTGTAAATTTAAGAGTTCTTTAAATGCTTTTCCAACCTATATACATAATTTTCTATTTTTAGCCAAATATATAATTAATCTAGTAACGACGACGATAGTAGACACGTCTGACATATACGGGGCGTCTATATTGGTAACCACTGTTTCTGCTGTAACTATGTCCGGGTACTTGCACTGGAGCTTGGTAGGAAGCTTGAGGAGGCAAGTAAATTTGTTGTGGTGCACGTGCAAATGAGGCTGAGGAAGCGGCTACAACGGGACGTTGAACTGGATGTGGAACGGACACAAAGCTGCTATGTTGTACTGGAGCTGGTGCGGGTGCAGCAGGGCGTGGTGGCTCTGGTAGATCAATATCAATATATTCAGGTTCTGGTGTAGCAATATCTTGTGGATTTGGTCCTTGTGTTGCGGAGTCAGGTAATTGAGCAGCGGCAGCAAAGCCAATTATAGCGAATGTTATCAAGAGAAGTTTCTGAGACTCACGTGTTAAAAGAATAGTGACGGTTTTAGATAAATATTAAATAATTATGAGATAATCTCATGTACTGGAATAATGATATAATTTCCATTGTTAAGCCTTATTATATTAGTTTGGAATTTCACGGATATCGAATTTAATGTTTTGATAACGAGGAAATATTTTTATACACTCTTGATCCACAGTACATAATTGATATCCTTTTTCAAATGACAAATTTAGATTGCTCTGGATTTAGAATTTTGCTTATGTTGTGCGTCTTATCGAAATATGCTTAGGATATTCCTAGCGATTATCAAAAACACATAAAACAGCTGTTATTTTCAGGCGTCTATTTGATTAATTCTATTCTATTCAACGGGATTCATTTAAAGCAACTCCACAACCTTTACTATAACTATTTTTGTTGTATTTCAATATATCTATATCAACTACTATTCGTATGATGATAATCCCATACCGGGCGTGTAGAACTAGTGATAGGAACCTCTCTATACTTAACTTTTGGAGTTGTCAAAGTATTTATAATCACCAAATAATTCATAAGTCTACTTACATAACTAATCAAAATACTTCCCATTTACTTGTTCCATTCAATAGTGGTCGTGAAAAAATATGGTCACATAAAGGAATTTTTCAAAGGTCATACAAAAGAAATAAGGAAAATAAGGGTCAGAAAATTTGTTCGGTTTTTAGTATAATAAATCATTATTTTGATCATCCAGACTTAGACAAACTAGCAAGTTTTATATTTCTTTCAGTATCGATATAAATAGATTTTTTCCAGATTGAATACATGGTTATGTTCTGTGCAGTACTGAGACACAAATAATAAACTTGAAAAAACAATAAACAATTTTCTAAAATTAACAGAATTTTAATGAAGTGCTATTTAGGATTGCCAAAATTCAAGTTTAATACATATAAGCTATGCTGAAATATTTTGAGAGCGATGATACATCTGAGCCAATAACGATGAAAATGGAGATATTCTTCAGCTACGGTTATTACCGAAACAAAAAAATGATCAACCTCTTTGCACCGATTTACAGAAGTTGTATGAAGAAAAGTGAATGTCCATAAACATCCAGATCGAACCATATTAAGGCATTCCATCATGGAGGCCTATGGACCATTATATATTCAAAATTTAAACCTCAAAAAAATTTATCTCCAATAACAAAGTGGCGCTCATGTGTTACTTTAACAAAAGACCATGCCTCGCTTCAGGGGTGGTTTCCATGAAATCATGAAAATCGACTGTAGACTACACAAAAGGCACATCAATGTTGATAGATAGTACAAATATTGGTAAATAATTGATTAGAGCTCTTAACATGTATAAAAATGGGTGATCATCCTAAAATCACTATTGTAGATTTCACATAAGCCAATGCAGTATTGTTCGGCAGCAGAAATATTGCTGGATCAGTTATACCAGACGGTGTTATACAAATGATATTAAAACTCTAGTAGCTATAGAATATCACTTTTTTGGTATCAAAAAGTGTGCAAACGAGGGTTAACAATTCTATGTTCTCTTAGAGAGTCATGGGAAGAATATTGTTCTAAGCCCATAGTTAAAATATTTTAATATTAAATTAGATAAAAACTTTCTAATAATAGTTTTCCTAAAGCAAAAAATATTTATCTTTACAATTTAATATTAATATTCTAATAAATAGTCAGCCTGATTTTTAAGCTATCTTAAAGGTTAACATTTAGCGCAAGTAAAAAATGTATAGTTAAAGTTTTAAGTTGTTGGATTATAGTTCAAATGTTACTTCCGTTAGAGCTTATGGTTATGCAGATATTCTGGGCAAGAGTTTGTTAAATAGCAGACTAAAATCGGTTTCTTCTGGATAGTACATCTTTCATAGTTTACTGTTGTATAAGTTGAAGACAAAGACTAATACCTTGTTTTGTTTTAACGACTACGACTACAAGAAATCGATTGAATACTAAAAATATACTAAAAATACAAAATCGCGTTTATTAAAATATTATTAGTTTCACGACACACAGTTTCACGAATTATACTGATATATAAAACTAGCTTACGTCAATTCTGCAGAGTAATAAGTCAAGTTTATGTGGTGGTCATATCATACATTTTACTATCTATCAATAGAATATCTGGCTCTAAAAATTTGCTTATGCTAAATACTAATAGAGAGATAGGTCGAGCGATTAGATATGTAGAAATGCATTATTTTAACAGATAAGGTAAGCTATTAAACAGAAAGACTTTGACTCTCTATACTTATTGATTATCTTAATTTTCTTCATCTGAACGTTGATTTTTTCTTTTTACTAATATATAAATAGTATTTTCATTAAAAGATATTTGAAAATTTGTTATATGTTATATAACAAATAATGTTATGTAGTCTTATTTTTAAAATAAATAAATCTGTCCGACTTTTTATATAATTTTAAACATAATAAAGATAAAGTAATAAGAAATTTTTAATGTTATCGACTACTTGTGGACTTGGTGATCATATCTACTTATGTCTACCGTAATATCGCTAAGGAATATAGTAAGGATCGTAGTAAGCCCACGGACTTAGTAATCTAATTTATATTTCAATGGAAAGTATTGTTATTGTTATAGTGGGATTTACAAAGGCTTTACAAAGGCCTTATTAACATTCTATTGTTTTCGTCGGTTAGGATTAGTTATAGCACAAGGACATACTGGGGTCGTATTGTTTTACTCTAAATAAAGCCATTTTCACTCATCGTGATTAATGTCATCATCTAATAGTACGATAATGTGTATTATTTATGCATTTATTTAATATCAATTATTAATTAATATTTTAAAATGAATTAATAATACACCATCGAAGTTCGTTGACATCAATGATCAAATTAGCTCTCAATTATTTTTAGTTAAATATTTTTTTATCAAAATTATCAAAAAATATTTTTTTTAATAATTAATTAAAAAATTGTTATAACTGTTACATTAATTTTTAATTAATATTAATTTTTAACACTATTAAAATATTATAATATTATAATTTTTTATTTAATTCAAAATAATACTTATAATTTATTTAATTTTATATATGAAAGTGTCTGATTAGGTATAAGTTTTAAAATATATTATTATATTTTATATTATATGTATTATATTTATATTATATATATATTAAATTTAAATAAATATATTAAATTTATATGGAATTTATATAACAATTCTTTGAAAAAACACAATGAAAGCCACAATTACTTTTTTATATATTTATATTTATTTTAATTTAATATTATTTTAAGATTTATATGAATTAATTTTTATTTAAATTTAATATCAATTAAATTATATATTGTTAAAAAAAAATTTTTTTTAATGCACTCAAAAAAATTTTCAATACGAAATAGTTAATTAATAGTTTTTTTTTATTTTAATTATTTAAATATTTTTAAAATATTTAAATAATATTTTTATTTTTGTTTTATATCACATAAATAGTTTTCACTTTATCGCTTGTCTATAAAACATTATTTTGTTATAAAATTAACAAAAATTTGTAATCCTTTTTACACTTAATTTCACTTAATTAATTATTAATTTATTTGATAATGAAAACACACAGGACCACCTACCATTTTTGGTTGTTTTTTTTTTTTAATTTATTTCGTTTCTTAATTAATCCAAAGTTGAAACAATTCTTTTATTGATTTAATTTGTTTATTTAATTTCTGGTCGAAAGCGAGCAAACACACTCAAGAAGTCTAAAGCACAAATGATGATGAGCTGCAAAGCTACTTTGTTATTTATATGTGGACCATGAGCGAATAGTAACTGCGGCCGCCAAAATAAAACAAATTCACTAACAACAAAAATTTTATAAACGAAAAGAAAAGAAAAGGAAAAACAAAAGCAAAGATCCAAATTTTATTAAAGTTTCAAGAAAGAGAAAAAAATCGTAGGCTGGCTGCGGCACAAGCAACTTCAGGCCCAACTCAATATTGCAGAAGCAATGAAGCTGAATGAAGTCTTTGTTATTGTCGTCAGTGGTCAGTCGTCAGTCGTCAGTTGAAGTGACGTAGCAAATTGCATTTGATTTTCCATTTTATTTGAGAAGACACAGACACAATTTATTTGTTTTTGTTTTTAAACTGCCAACAACTCTATTAAGAAACTATTAAGAATAAAAGCAACAACAATAACTGCAATAATAATAACAAACATAAAAAAGCACTTCAAAGCAAAGAGAGCACCTAAACGAACAATAAGAGCAATAAGAGCCAAGCTAACAGTTCTCTTAACAATTTCTGATATTTTTTTTCCTCGACTTCTTGTCTGGATGGTTTGCGTTTGTAAGTGACTTCTTCACCGCACTTCTTCATGTACGTCAATAGTTGGCGCAGCAGCAGCAGCGGCTCGTGTCTTCAGCAGCATTCAGGCTGAAGCGCTCGTTAACGTTAATCACACCAAATAATGAATTTTATGTTGTTTATTTCTCCTCACTTTTAAATAATTTTTTTGTGAAATTTGCATAAATTGTATCTGCGCTGGTCCGTTGTTGAATTTCAAGTTCAAGCTCAATTCTCCTTCCATTAACTGATTTTTTTTCATTTTTTATATTTTTGTGATTTTGTTCGATATTTACCTGTTGTATTGAATAATACATTTTTGTCTTCGATAAGATATCTTTTGTAAGCCATATATACTTGGGGGTCTGAAGTGGTGCTTGAGTTTTTGTATCTTTTATTTTTTTCTGTTAATTTGCATTGAAGTACTTAAATTCTTTTTCTAGAATCTGCAACGTCATTATTAATAGTTTTTATATAAAAAATTTATGTTGAAAAATACTTAAAATATATTGGCAAAATTACGAGAAAAAAAAATTTTTTTTTTGTTTTGATATTAGAAATAATTTTAAAATTTTTTACTATATTGGGGGGAAAAAAAACTCTTAGCTACCTTAACGATGATTGAAGACTTCACAATTTCAAAGTGTTTCATTTAATAACTGAAAAAAGTGTTTAACTGCGTTTTGCTATTTGCGGTTTTTCGATTCATTTTTGTTAAAACTGATTTGATTGATAATTGGAGCTCATCAGTCTTAAGCGGATCTCAAGGAGAACCATATTCGGTAGGATTTGACGTCAGCATGATCGCATCTTTAGAAATTTGGATAAACTATGCTAATATCTTATAAAATGTAGAAAAAAAAAATTTTTTAATCAATATTTTATAAGTCAACTGTACTATTCTTAGAAACTATTAGATATATATGTATATATAGACACATGAAAAAATATCGATATTGGGTTTCACGTCCACTGAGTGGTCAGCGGGCAGGATACCCGTAGTCAGCAAGCTTGCCTGTAGAAGAAGATATATGACATATGATGAAAAATGTGTTTGAAATAATCCCGTATCCGAGGATAAGATTATCTTATTACAGTAACAGTGCTGTTTAGCGTGGGTAGCTGCCATCAAAGCTTAATATTACTGTGCTCTACAAACAAATATATCAAGATAATACGCCGATAAACGCCTCATTGGAAATTCTAATGAATTTCCATCTGCACCAATGAAGTTATTTATTTTGGACATAACTTCCGAAGCAGATTAACACCTCCGGGCGGAGGTCGCAAGTGCCGTGTTACTTATTACCATGCATACTCCAAACAGTGTAGGTATAGCACAGGGATTCTAGTCTCCCTTTACGATAAGCATGCCTTACTCTGAAATATTCTACCCCTTTACCCGCAGGGGAAGTTATTTTATGACAGGAAGATTCACTTAAATTCTTTGCACTGTACATACTGAAAATTAACTGACCTCCTTAAACATGCATCTCAAAGGTAGGTGAGTTATCTAAACTCCTATAATATCTAAGAATAAACATCACTTAAATTCTTAGTCAATGATAATGACTTAAAAATTCAAAGGTTTAAAACCCAACTAAAATCTGTGAAGCAGCCTGAAATGCTCTCTAGGGGCAGAACTTGCAGCTAGCGGCGTTTAGAAAGTAAATGATGGATATGCTTAGTATAAATAAACGTCTATATCTAAAGACATACCGAATTGATGATAACTGGAAACTATGGCAAAAAACCCAGGAACGCCTTCCGTGGACCATTTTGGTAAGTAATTTAGAAATGTTTAAGAGCCTAACTATTAATAACTGCTGTTATAAATTATGTCTCAAGATTAAGGTACTAACATATTGATGAATGTTTATTGATAACAATAAAATAATAATAATTCAATTATTATCAGGCTAGTTGTAACTTAGTTTAAAGCAATAAGTTACGTTAATGAATCATAACTGCATATAATGTTATATTTATCATTCTTCAATAACAGCATGGGAATGATCCTGGATAACAATGCTGCTGTTATGTATTAAGACCAATACTCAAAAGTAGTATAAACTTTTCTTTATTTGTACTCTATTGTAGAGAATCAATGCTGTGTTATGATTATTATTTTAGGATTATTCACTCTGTATTGCAAACTCATTGCAAGGTGCACGAAATCCACAGATTGCGCGAACTTGCAATGGACAACTACAAAATACTTGAAGCAACTATCTTGCAATTGCTTGCATTCTTACTATACCTAAACCTATGTATAGGTATATACTTGCAAAGAAACAAAAAAGGAGGAAAACAGCTGTTTTGGTATCTGTTGCTGCTTATGTGTATGTGGTATGCTGCAAAAACAGCTGTTTTATTTTGATGTTGTAATTCTGCAAGACAGATGTTCTTGCATTCTTGCAATTCAGTGTAGCATTCTTGCATTTCGTGCATCTTGCAATGACTTTGCAAGCCAGAGTGAAATTCCCCATTAATTATAATGAATTCTATGCACCTTTTCACATCTCTATTTTCTACATAATGTATATCGTCAATGCATTGAATTAACTTAGGATTTTACTAAATAAATGATATATAATAATAAAGATTATATTTAGAATAATAATAATAATAATTTAATGTTTAATTAAATTTATTAAAATTGAATAATTTATTTTAAATAAATAATGATTAATTAAATAATTTTTATTAGATTTTAATAGTAAAATATTTCACTTTCATCGATTTTAATGTTTAAAACTACTTCCTTCTCCGTGTTTTGGCACGTGATTTTTTTATTTATTTATATTACCCTTAGCTTATATAAAAAAATTATTAACAATAAAATTGAACTTACAAATGATAAGTGGAAAAATTTTATATCAAAATTTGATGAAGGCGAGAAGTAATAATTTATTCCTGTTTCTATTTCTAGATACAAAGAAAATATTACAAAAAGTTGTAAAAATAATTATTCAAAATATGTACTTCAAAGTACTTGTAATCAATCTAATTAATAGCTTCCATGCTGATGTGTTCTCATGTTGGATCTCCCGCAAAGTTCTTCAACAGTGAAATAACAGAGAAAAACTCCAATAAATCAGGTATTGAACTATTTTGAGCAGTTGACGTGGCTACTTCAGGGCATAATTACGTCAATTTTAGAATAAAAAAATTGAAACATTAGAACTTCAAACAATTACACAGTTTATTAATTATAACAGTTTGGATAAAAATAGTTGAATATGTGAAATAAATAGAAATATACAGAATCATAAATAAGTCAAAAATAATTTTACTTCTGTTTGAAGTGTTCTTTACATATTGACCTTGAATAACATCTTCTGCCTGAGTCTATGGAATTTATAGAGGCAGTAGATATCTAAGTTGAAGTGTTTCGCTCTATATTTTTACACTCAGAACAAATTTGGTTAAAAGTGAATGTATAAATCTGTTTTATTTCCTCTATGTAACGCCCGCGTATTAACCAATATGAGGTAATAAATCTACGATGCAGTTTTGTATCTGACGGATACGTGTTAAGGCCAACAACAGTTGTGACATTAACATAATTAAATATGCGTTTCTTAATTAATTTTCAGTTGTAACCTTTTTAACAAGTTGTGTCAAGCGAGAATCTTCGCTGTGTTACGTAGAATGGAACCTGTCAAAAATTTTGTTTCAATTTGTATCTGATGATAAATTTAATTTATTTTTTGTAAAGTCAGCAAGTCGATGGGTCATTTTCTTCTATTGAGATTTTGTATTCAGTGTGGAAACAATGCTTAACACTAGTCAATTTATATACTCTGTTCGTACTCAACCATGAATGACGCTTAATGATATTAGCGGTACAATAACTTTTTAAATTATTAATATAATAATTTAATTATGATATTAAGGGAGTTATTCGGATATTAGTTTAAATAAGCATTATATACTTTAGTTAAATATCTATGATTTAGTTTTATTTTTATTATTTCTTGTTATTTAAATCAAATAATATCTCAAGAGTTCATACACAAAAGGTTAACCATACTAATTACCATAAATTTAAAGTGGTTATTAGTTCACTTTTTTAATAATTTTTAATTGATAAAGGGTCTAATGTAAATAGAACACAAAATTTTATACAATTTAAAATTTTTATAGCTTTTTTGTTTTTTGTTTTTATTATTATATAGTAGTCTATGTAACTATCGCCGAGGTTTGTTTGACTTCTCCTCCAGAGCTGAGTATTATTACAACTACACGCATAATGAGGTTATGAGTGCCATAATCCCCGAAACCATATCTCCAATGATAAAAAAAGGGCCTATAAACAAAAAGCAACTAAAGTGTATGAGTTCATAAAACCCACTTGCGTTTATGCACATAACACATAGATGTGATTTATTTACTCTAGTCT